CAAATTACCCCTGTACCGTATAGCCCCAACCCATATAACGTAACTTCCCAATTTGTTCGCTCCGCTCTGCTCCGCTTCGTTCCAGCGTCTGTCCCTATATGGTATATAAGTCATACCATAACAAATCTCCACCTTGGCGAATATCCAGCCCCTTAGAAGAAAATATACCTGAGAGTTACACCTGCACCAATGTGGGTTGGGCCACCATGCTTCTGCTGCGCCCACGCTGATGTCAACCCACTAAATTCCAAGAGACACACCTTTTTAATTCCAAGAGACTTCTCTTCATTCCAAGAGACTCCAAATTCTGGTATTATGAGTCATACCTAACAATCTTTGATTAGTTCTTTAAGAATTTTTGTAAATTTTTTGCATCGCTTTTGGTTTGTAGCATAGGTTGGCATTTATTACAATTTTGAAAATTTCGACTCTTATATGTATTTCGTGGGTTATAAGGAAACTCTACATAACATATCAAGAAAGGCTAGTAGAGTGAAGAACAGAGCCAAAAATGATTTGTAGGGTGGGTAAGAGAAAAACAAAGCACAAAGTTCAATAGAGTAATAGTTTTAGGGCAAGAATCTAAGGCCAACCATGCAGAAAATGTTGGATTCAACAAAATATTTTAAATCCATTTTAATAAATAATCAAATTATGAAGCCGATCGGCGGTCAGCTGAAGCTAGACTGTAGCGCTTGTGATAAGCAGAGCACAATGCTGTTCCTTAAGCATATCAAAAAATGAAACTTGAAGATTTAGAGTTAATTTTCTTCAAATTTGCTATTTTATTTTAAATTTAGGATTTATATAGATCAGCAAATATATATATATTAAAATTTGAACATAATATCATAATTGATCCATGCTTCTTCGATAGCTCCCTGATAAGCTTGGATTTTGACATAACATTTGAATAATCGCTTACTTGTCAAATCATGGGCTCTTTAAATAGGATATTGAATTGATTTTTCACGTAGAAATAATTAACAAGCAAGCCAGTGGCAGTGGCGTCTTCTATGTAAATCAGAGATGAGCAGAGTAGAGAGCAAGAAAAATATAAAAAACTGATCAATTATAATGAATCCAATTGTAGTTCTAGATGCTTTTTGTCTTGGTTCCCTTGTTCATCTTGTTCTAGCAGATAGTAAGAGGAGAAGGAACATCTTAAGCAAGATACCTCTCATTCCAACAATCTCAAGCTTTCCATTTATAGGTAATAGCCATCCACTTGTCTCGCTGCCATAGCACTCACTCAGGGAGCTATCGAAGAAGCATGGATCCCTCATTCTCTTACATCTGGGCTACATTCTAATGCTGGTAGTTTTGCTTACATGTCTTGCAGATCCAAGGATATTAGCAAGATTGACGACTCCACTGGGGATGAAGCTTTCTCTTCACTACAGGAGTTTTGCTTGCGTGTCTTGCAGATCCCAACGTATTCACAAGACTGGCGACTCTACTGGGGACGATGGTTTCTCTTCACCATGGGAGTTTTGCTTACTTTATGGAGATTCCAGTGCATTCGTAAGATTAGCAACTTCTGTGAAGAAGATACTCTCACTTATTCCATACACGGAGTTGTGTTCGCCTATTCTGTGGGTTCTAGCGATATCGCAAACTTGCAGAGCCGCTGGAAGTATACACTCTCTTCTTTTTAGGGATTCTTCTTACATATTTGTGACGTAGTCCCTTCTTCGTAATGTAACTATTTGAGCATTTTGAACCTTTTATTCATTCCATAAGTCAGCTGTATTGGTTAGCAACTGATTCAATCTTATCTTTCTGTCGTGCCCTCAGTATTTCAATCGCTGCATCATCACATGCATTGTTGCTGTTGTACTCTTTTGATTGGTTCTTTAAAACTTTTTTGAACTTAATCGATGTCCCCTTTTGATTGATAGAAATACTCAGCCGAGGGTTGACCAAAATTAAAACACATGGGAGGAACGTCATTTCCTTTATACCCAATGTTCTCGGTGCACAAGAGAAGACCATTACTTTTGGTCCCTGCGGCCACCTATTTGAGATTACCTTTAATAATCATATGCCATCTGAGGCGTCTGCTATATGTCACTCTGAAGAAGAGGATTCATGCATGTGGCACTCCTTCCA